CCTGCCCCTATAATGCCAATTGTAGTTGCAACCACAAGCCACAGGACACCTGGCCCTACCACTGCAAGTATTGCTCCAGCCCATACCACAATAAGTGCAGTTCCAGCCACAACACATACCACTCCACCTGCTACCATGAAAGGAGCTGCCCCACCACATCCAGCATGGCTCCAACAATAAGCAGGCCAGCTCCTACTATGACCAGCTTGGTCTTGAATAACTGCAACCACAACTAGCTCGGGCATAGAGTTAGGGTTTCTCCATCGGGCACTTCTCCTCCTGGAGGCACTACCCAACCCCTTACCATGACCTGTATGGCTCCATCCATAATTGTCTCCATGCCAGTTAACATTTGGTGCATTTTCTTTGGACACGGCTGGGGTCCCCTTTTTGTCCCAACTAAGTACTGATGACAGATGTCTAGTTGGGGAAACCAGACCACAAAAGTTTGACTCTTGACCATAAGGCCACGAGTGATTCCAGAGCCCCCATATTTGGCACACAGAGGTTGGTGGTGCCCTTGAAAAACGCCCCCAGAACCACACCTTGTTTTGTGCAACTTTATGGCAATTGTTTTTTTCCTGAAAATCGGGCTTAGGATGATGTGAGGGTTTATAAACCTCACACCCTCTATGAAAATTGGTCAGGTTGCAGGTAGCAATGCATATTTCAATTTGCATTCATCATCACTTATTAGGAACAGATCTCATTGCAGCTCTGATAAAGCATCTGTGTGATCTGAACAGTAAGGCTGCTTTGTTTTCTTTTCATAAACTAAGTGTGAAAATCCAAACCACAGCAACTAGTCCGTTATAAATGTGTGGATGCCAAACATCTGGACTGCCTTTTTCTCCCTTTTTTTTCTTTGATGATTTGGCAGTGAAGCTACTGTTCTCAAGCAGCCACTGAATGCAGACTGTACATTTCCTGTTTATAGTTTTTGGGTCCACAGCTGGGAGGTTCTGATGTCATGCCTCTTATGAAACTGCTGTGGGCCATAATTTATTAATGCTACATAAATTCACTGTGACATAAAATCCATCATTACTGTACATGTACCTGTACTTTCAGTATGATAATTTTATCACGATCATACTGACATCTTGTGAGTGCCAGTCATGTTTCCACTGTGCTAAATCTCCTGCTCACCACATTCTTATTTGGTATTTGTTTGATATTTCAGGCTCACATTTTGGTTTATGTATAGCTTGTTTTTGATTCTGTTACACAGTGCTTGCAGTTTGTCTGAATAGTTTATCATGGTGGTTGACTGGATATGAAAAACTGTCTTAATACAAAGCCTCTGTGATCCAATTGTATCTTATTTTACTGTAATTGTTAAACTGGAGAGTAACCTAACCATCAAAAACATAACTAGAAGTCACATAGGTCTAATAAACATCATAAAAACATTTGATATATTTTGCTGAGTATTTCTCATTCCGAAAACATTTTTAGAAGGACAGGGAATCAATTTTCAGCATATTTTAGGACTCTGCCCTGCATTTTAACTGGCTTATTGTATTAACTTGAATATTCAGCCATTGCATTAGAGAGATCTTCTAGGCTTAGGGTATTGCACCTCCATAAAGTCAAAGTAATCTAATTCTGTGCAGCAGAGGCTGAGATATTCTGACAATTAGTCCTTAGTTTGGGTCAAGCTCCAAAACCATTGTGCCCTACATTTCATATAATGTAACTCTATGGTGTCTTTTGTTAGATAATGTCTGAGATTTGAAAAAGCTCCTCCAGACCCACAGAAAATGTACGATTTTCACAGGCTCAGTAGAACTGATCATGGCTAGTAAACTGAAAATGTGTAAAATTTGTGGGGTGTAATTTAAGTTTAAGCAACAATTAACAACTGACCTGTTGTAAAACAGTGGTGAAAAGCAGGGACCTCAAACCTCCCTATAAAAATCAAATGATAGCGTATTATTCATTGCTATTTTTTTATTTAATCAATGCTGGTTTATTAGTAGCCCAGTGATCAACTGGCAGCCTGTAATTTGTACCCCACCTCTCACCTATTGTCAGCTGGGATAGGCTCCAGCATCCCCATGACCATATTCAGGAATAAGAGAATGGATGGATGGATGGTTTAGTAGTCTATGTCATAGTACTTTGTACCAAATTGAAGTATGACAAAAAAGCTGGAGAACAATATCTGAATGAATAATTTCTTTTTAAATAATCCATTTGTGTTTGTCTTTCTCTATCGATGCTGATGCTGAGTGGAACACTGATCAGTCTTTTTGTCTTCAGCTTCAGTGACTACTACGGTGGCCCAGAGGTGCAAAAAACATTTCACCTAACACAACAGCATTTTACAATATTTAGCAAAACACAATGACAAAGGGGTAAACTTATCCTGAATAAACTTAGCCTCAGTTTGGTTTCACAAAATCCATGGCACAAGTTACTATGGAGATTTATTGGTTAAAAAATTGTATCAAGTTAATCAGTCATAGGCTGTGATTAATCATGATTAATCTCAATTTTAAAGTACTAGGATTTAGTTGTATTAAAAACATGTGCACTGTTGGAATTAAAAAAAAATGCATGAAATCTGGTTAGAGGAAACAAAGATTCTTCAGTTTTATTAACAACTCAAACATTAACATTTAGCAAATGTTAAATTAAAATCTTTCAAAGAGCCCATGACATGCTGATTTCCAGCCATTTAATGTTTAATCTTGGGTACCTCCAGACCAGGGGTCTCAAACTCAAATGAGCGGGGGGCCACTACTGCCACCATCAGCTCACTGGAGGGCCACATCAGTGTTCGAGTAATACAAAAGATAACATATTTTTGAAAATGTGCTTTTAATAATACAAAATAGCTAATGCAAATATTAAATATTTATTGGTAACATTTGAATGAATAACATTTTAATGAATAAACTGCAAATATCTTGAACACATGTATTTTAACACTTAAGACACCTGTGCTAGCAACCTGTGTGTATATATAAATAAAATCGTGACAAAAATAAAAAAATATGCATATATTTGCATGTTTCACACCAAAGGCAAGGCTAACTTGTTCCTCTTATTTAAACATTGCACTGAACTGAATGAATTGAATGAAATTCCAGAACACTATATTTTACAACACAACTGACAACTTTGCAACTTGTCTTCATATTAAAATCTGAAACATTAACAGTATAATGTTAAACAAGAAAAAAAAACAGCATTTAACTTCACTTTTTTTTGCATCCTATTGCACCCGGTTTTGTGTAAAAGTCCTTGCTAGAACACTAGTCCTCTTTGTAGCTGCGTGGCTCATTTTCTCCTGTCATCTCCATTGTAGTTCTCATAATGTTGTCCATGTTTACTCCAATAATGGCGCTTGATATTATATTCCTTAAAAACGTCGAGTTTCTCTTTACAAATGAGGCAGATTGCATGTCCACCTAACTCAACAAAAAAATACTGCAATGTCCACTTTTCTTGAAACTGTCTGTGCTCACTGTCGACTTTTCTTTTTGATTTTGAAAGTGACATACCTTCCGCGCTACTTCTGTTTTGTCTCCTTATTGTTTTTTGCCGCGTACTCTGGAAGCAGCGCCACACCGTACGGCTCCGGACCTGCGCTTCCTGTTTGCTTAAAAACTTTTGTTCTGTATTTACCATTTTCAAAATAAATGTGTTTTTTATGAAAAAATTATAAATAATTACAAATACTTAATTTTCACAATAAGTGGTTATTGTGGGGATAAAACGAAATAACAAAATATAACCTCAAGGGCCAAGTTACATTACTATTTTGACATCAGGTCGTGGGCCGGAAATAGGGGGTCCGCGGGCTGGAAGTGGCCCGCGGGCCGGGAGTTTGAGGCCCCTGCTCTAGACCCATCATAACTTCAAATAGTCTAATTATTTCAGAATGTTAAAAACCAATATCATAAGGAGCCTCCTCCTGAATATGAGAGGATAATTGAATGTGCACGGTTCCTGTTGTCGGTCAGGAAGCTACGACAATGCATCAACAAAAAAACTTGGCAAATATATTTTTTCGACAATGACAATACCTCAAATCCTACCTGACATATTCCAGCTAGAATATGAAAGTGGACAGCAGGACGATCTGCAACATCATTAATTTATTTGAATGTCTCCTCCATAGACAGGTAAGCAACAGTATGTGTACCAATGAAAAGAGATTTGTAACACTGAACAAAGTGGGTAATTGAGAAACCCTATATTTTAACTGGCATAATGCAGACATAGTAACTTCTCCAGCCTTACAACAATTCTCTCTAATGTTACAGAAACAAGGCATTAACAGACAACAGGCAACATGTGGTTTTGTTTTAAACTTTCCATTAAGTCCCACTGAGTAGTGGAAACATCACTCCCTTTCAAGTAGCTCCAAGATCGGTAAATTCAACCGGTGGTCGCTGCGTCTTCCCCCACACAACCACATACAGTCCCACAGTAGTGAAATTAATTTTGATAGGTAGTGTAGCACCTACAGTAACATCATGGATCATTAATCCACTTGTTAACCAGTAACACATCACATGCAGCAGACACACTGGCCTCAAGCAGTCAAAACAAACAGGTACTGTGCTCCGGGGGAATCCAGTGTTGATCAGTCACTGCCCCAGTGGGCTTTCACTGGCCGTCTGGCTGTAGGTTAGACCTGATCAGGTAAAACAGCGAGTCCCTGTACAGGAACATTCCCGGACATGCAGTAACCTCAGGCCCTGTATTTTTCTCCACATCCTCTGGTCACAGTGCAGCAGGAGAGAAAATATATCCACCAAACAAAGCACAGTCAGCTTTTACAGTGGCACCGTGGCTGTCAGGCAAGCTCACATAAATGTGCAACTGCTTGGATTTAATGCCCATTCAAGGAGATCCTTAAACTACCACATAATACTTTATACTGTTAGAAAAAAGTCTCGCGAGCGAGAGTTTGCAAGATGTGTATAAACAGAGTTGCTTCTGCACAGAAATACTAGAACACATGTTTTGAGCTCTAGGTCACGTCTAAGATGATAATTCACCGTTGTAACATTAGAAATACATTTTTGGTTAAAGGTGATTATGCCAAACACTGTGCATCTATGCAACATGCCTCTAGTCAACTAGTCATACAGCCTGCTCTTCCAAACTTCCATTTGGAAGCTTGTCATAATGAAACTTGGCACATTAGGTGGTGTCTCGTCAGTCATTGTATTATCTGCATTAGATGCGCCCTGAACACACACAGCCAGGTAACCACCTGCGCTGCGATTACACCTTTATGTAGGTATCTGCTAATTATGTCGACAGTTCATATGGATGTTTTCGGCAATACCAAACACTCCATGAGACTTTTGTACTCAGCTAATTAAGAGATTTTAATTTAATATTTGTTAAATGTTAATAAAACTGAAGTATCTCTGTTTCCTCTAACTAGTTTGCGATTAATCGTGACTATTAACAATCTATGACTGGGATTAACTTAGAATTTTTAAATGACTGACCGCACAAAATGAACCCAACAAATAACCCAGTAATGTTGCTTTAAAGTACAGATCCCAGAAGATTTCTGCAACACACAGCAAAACAAGGAGAAATATTATTAATATGACACAAGGTAATAGAAAAATAAGGGATTACAACTTACACAGCTAAGTTTAAAAAAGAGCTCTAATGCACTTTAAAGCCACCAGCTGGCTTGTGATAGCATTGGCATAATAAACCCCAGACAAGTTGATTCACTTGACCAAAAACATAAAAATATTCTGTTAAAATATGTTCTTAAGAAGTAAATGTATTGGTTTGCAAGATACTGTGAAAACACAAGGACATTCTTTACTAATTAGGTATTGAGAAGCAGGAGGTTAAAATTTCCTGCAGATAAAGGACTGATTGAAAAATTGCAAAAGTTGTATCTATCATATAGCATCCTCATGTTGCTCAGGGCTGAGCTGAAGGACTGACAACACTGTAATACAAAACGTTTAGTGTACTTGACATGCAGTTGTAAATACAGGAGCCCTTTTTTGTACCTCAGAAGGTGACCATGTTACAAAAAGGTGACTGTGTTTCATTTATTTGAATGTAATGAAGCTATTCTGTAATAAAGGTTATTCGAAATGTTGTCATGAAGATGTGCTTGCTCCATTTAAAGTGAGATAGTCAGAGTGAAAAGCTTGTGATAAACTTTAGGAGTCAGCCTGCTAAACCACTGCAGCTCAGGAGCCAGATCCACTGATGCATAAAATCTACATGATCAGTGTCCTCAAAAGTCTTTATCCCAGCCAGACAGCTCATCAGGAGGTTCATCTGTGTCAGGTGGAAAGCTATCAAAGTGACTGTGATCCATCGGCCCCTTCAGCTGCAGAAACAAAATGAATCATCAAAATGTTGTCAGCATGGTGCCATTCACAACGTCCTCATTGGCAGAGTTAGATTTCCTAAAGTCATGAAAATCTTATGGTGAACCTTTTTGTGAAACCTGTGTGCAAAGCTTGAGGAGAAAGTTTTATTTATTGTTTTTGTTTAGTTGTCTGTTTAGTTGCATATCAAACTTATAAAGCCTCAATAATCCAGGATCTGAATTGCTGTACAAAGTGGTTCACAGTATATATAAAGTAAAAATAGCAATTCCACACTGTAAAAATACTAAATATAAGTCCTGCATTCAAAATGTTACTTAGGTAAAAGTACAAAAAAATATTACCATCAATAAAATACCTAAAGTACCAAAAGTAAAAGCACTCATTATGTGGAATGGAGCATGTCACATGAATGCATATTATATTATTTGATTATAATTACTGATGCATTATTGTGTAGATCACATTTAATATTAATATTATACAGTTAAAACCTGAATTACTGCTGGACAGGTTGTGAATTTCCCACCAGGGCTCAGTAAGGTCTGATGATTAAACTGTATTTTGAATAGTTAATCTGATTCTGAAAAGTGACTAGGAACTAAAGTTAGCAATTAAATGTGATAGAGTAAAAAGTGCAATATTGTAAAATGTAATGAAGCTGAAACATGACTGATGCTCACTGCCCACTTTTACTACATTTTCATGGGCTTGAAAAAAAGCTGGCCATGCAATAAAATGAACATACGTAGCAATTGCATTTCCTCCATGAAACAAAACACAAAAGAAGGTTTCAACCAGAATTTGTCCACAACAACCTAATGATAAAATAATGCGTGTAGTGTATAGCATTAGCCAAAGGTAACTCAACAATTGTCTTAAGAGGGCTTCAGTGAAAAGAAAACAGGATCATTTCATTTTTTCTTTTTATTTTAAAATGTTTTACATCAGCAAATAAAACCCAATCATTATATTCCTTTTCAAGTTGGATGAGTGTGCTTCTTTTTATGGTACCTGATAAAAAAGTAAGTACACCCTTACATGTTATGTCCATGTATTACTTTTGTATCAATATTGTCAGGTCTTCATTCAGTTTTCTTTGTCACAAATAATTTCCTGATCAGAATACCGACATTTTCCACAGAGCAGCTAAAACCAGTTGATCACATTCTGATAAATCTTTAAAAATGTTCTTATTAAACTGATGTTTTCTCCATAGATGTATAGCGGGACTGTCTGTTCTTGTTCGTTCTTAGGAAATAAAGATTGTCTCACCTCTCTCCTCAATGGAGATGGCAGTTTATGGCACCTCAAACCGTCCCAATTGAAGCCCTGGAACCACCTACAGAAGCAAATAACAAACTAGACCTTACTATCTATCTAGCGACATATTTTGTAATCACCTAAATAATCCCTGTTGTGCTTGGATAATTTGATAATGAGTGAATCATTTGTTGTGTTCATTAGTTTTGCTCAGGCTTCTCAACTGTATTCAATTTAAATTTTTTAGGTCACACATCACAGAAATGTACTGTACTGCATTTTCATGCATACTGTACTGTCACAGTACAGTATCCAGTCTGAATGCAGCATGCCATGACATCAAATCTCAAGCCTTGTGTACTATAATTACAGCACTTTAATGGGTTTACCTGAGTAAAGCTCAACACCCACTCCTGACATTACACTGTAATATCCATTCATTCAGCACAGCTAAATCCATTTGTGTAAATAAAAAACAAACAATAGCAATTTCATATAGCAAATAATAGCCTTGAATAACTTGTACATTCTTGACACTGCCAATAATAATTACTGGTCATCACAGAGAGCAGAAACAGGACAAAAAGTGTCATCTTTTCTCTTCTTTCTAGCTTGTCTGGTTTCCCTGTTGTCCTAAATAAAGCTGTGTGATTATGTTAGGATTGGTGCTTTAACAGTCTGTTCAAGCCATCTATTTAATACACACTAAAATATTGCCAAAAGGTGACCCACCTGTAATCTGCCATTAAATAACTAACTAAAATCTGCTCATTAAACATAAACTTGATGCCAGCAGCTAAGTTGGGACAGGGGCATGCTTACCACTGTATTATCTATTCTTTCAAGTTTGTCACATTTTACAGATTGCAATGTTTGAGGTGTATGTCTGGCAGGAAGCAGTGTCGTACCATGCAAAAAAGAATTCTGAATGATTTGCGAGCTGTAGCTGACCGTACAGATGAAGCATACAGATAGTTTGTTGCGTGACAGTGTTAGACACTGGGCCTACCTAGTATTTCCATTATATGAATTTTGCAGCCCACTATACTGGAAAATGATTCCCGCCACTGCTTCAGGATTTTATAAAATATCACAATGTCATGATTACATCTGAAACCAAATGAAACACATAATCTACAGTGTTTTTTAAATTGCCTTGAAAACATGAAATTCTGGATGAGCACAATCTAAATGAGAATAAGACAGAGATCCATGCTGGTCCTATGAGGTTCCCTGATAATTTGGGTGGCGCTCTCAGACCACTGTTTTCACATTTCTGCACATATGCCAGAAATTTTGGATTTTTTTGATTCTTCATTAAAATTTGACAAGTTAATTGTGTTGTCAGAAGGATTTTTCATATGATGGCAGTAGCGAAACTTAATTTCTTTTATTAGAAATTTGGAGACAGTCCTGCATGCCTTCATTACAACATGTCTTGACTATTGTCTCTTTATGTGGGAGTCAATCACACATCCTTAGCTCACCTAGTGCAAATTCAGCAGCAAGGCTCCTCACAGGCACCTGGGCAATAGACCCCTGTACTGGCCTATCTTCACTGGTTACCAGTTAAATATATAGTACATTTTAAGAGTCTTGCTTATTTTTAAATCACTGTGTGGTTTGGTGCCATCTTATATCTCCCACTTTCAACATTCAGACAACTCAGATCCCCTGATCAGTTACTACTCTGTTCCACACTCCCAGTCCAAATCTAGAGGTGATAAAACCTTTTCGAATGCTGATCCCGGACTGTGGAACAGTTTAGCCTTTAGTGTCAGATTCCTCACATCTGTTGCCACTTGACTCACCTTTCACAATAAATCACAATATAACCCTTTTACTTTATTTCCATTATTTTATTTGTATTCTTTGTCCCTTTTGTTTTAATTTGTGACTGCCATTGTAATTTTACCTGTAAAGCACTTTGGTCAGCATCTGTAGTTTTTAAATGTGCTATATGAATCAACTTCACTTGACTTACTGTACATGTTCCTGCCAGGATGTAATGATCGAATAAAACCTTTCAGTAAATATGACAAACCTTGAGTTTTATAGTTAACCTACCACACCTTTAAAGTTTAGAATTAAATTACAAGAAAATTATGTGTCATAAGTTGTGCAGCAGTTTTATTCTAGAGCTATCCCAAAGAAATGGATACTCATATACACTTACTTGTGTTTCTTAATGTCAGTAATGCCATTCTTTTTGTTTCCAAGCCTCTCCACTGGATTTACCCTAGAACAAACAAACAAAAAACAGGCATTTATTTTATGCTAGCCCCACACTGGAGGATAAGATTTTGGGTCCCATTTGCCCTTCCAGATGATTAGAGGGATAGGGTTTATATAAGCCATTGTTTGCTCTGTCATATCCTGTGTCCTTTTCCTGTGTCTGTTTAAAACAAATTTGATATTTACGCCCATCGTGTGACAGCAACCGATTGGATCTTGAGCAGAAACCCACAATCGCCAATGAGAACGGACTGACCGGTAAGTGTCACCAACAGTAGTAGTACTTTGCAGTAGTACCATTAGCCTTATTTGACACTATCAATAAACTTTACTTTATGTCATGCTGCAAAATGTAGGCTATGTGCTGTCGCATGTAGCCACACAGGTTTTTTTCTCTTTATCTGCATCTTGACTGAATTACGGTTACAGTATTAAAAATCAGTTTAAATCTTTTGTTATATCTGTTATATATGGTTTTAAAATCAGTTAAGATTTTCCAGTGTGCATGTAGCATTAGTCTAACACAAGGCTTATTAAACTCAGAAAAATCAGTGTCCAAACAAGAAGTCATATTTGTAACAAATGTAAATATGACCCACTGACTGTGACTGTTCTTCTTAGCTCTGGTGTAATAACACAGCAAAATAAATTATCCAGTCATTACTCTAAATTATACTGTATTGTGTGCTCCACAGTGCAAATTATGCTCTGTTTAAATGAATAGACACTGAAAAGTGCCTGTTGTTCTCCATTTTATTGTTATTAAGATAACTTGCCTTTCAAGATGAAATGTATGTTCTTGGTCTCTGATTTTATGAAATATATTTCCCCCAAAAAGTGCGACTTATAGTCCAGTGCGACTTATATATGTTTTTTTCTTCTTCATTATGCATTTTTTGGCTGGTGCGACGTATACTCAGGAGCGACTTATAGTCCGGAAAATACGGTATACACTGAACATAATTATAAACGCAACACTTTTGTGTTTGCACCCATTTGTCATGAGCTGAACTCAAAGATCTATGACTTGTTCTATGTACACAAAAGGCCTATTTCTCTCAAATATTGTTCACCAATCTGTCTAAATCTGTGTTAGTGAGCACTTCTTCTTTGCTAAGATGATCCATCCACCTCACAGGTGTGGCAGATCCAGATGCTGGTTAGACAGCATGATTATTACAGGTAGGCCTTAGGCTGGCCACAATAAAAGGCCACTCTAAAATGTGTAGTTTTATTACACAGCACATCTCCTTCGCATAGAGTTGATCAGGTTGTTGATTGTTGCCTGTGGAATGTTGGTCCACTCCTCTTCAATGGCTGTGCAAAGATGCTGGATATTGGCAGGAACTGGAACATGCTGTCGCATACGCCGATCCAGAGCATCCCAAATATGCTCAATGGGTGACACGTCCGGTGAGTATGCTAGCCATGCCAGAACTGGGATGTTTTCAGCTTCCAGGAATTGTGTACAGATCCTTGCAACATGGGGCTGTGCATTATCATGCTGCAACATGGCGATGGTCGTGGATGAATGGCACAACAATGGGCCTCAGGATCTCGTCACGGTATCTCTGTGTATTCAAAATGCCATCAATAAAATGCACCTGTGTTCGTTGTTGATAACATACGCCTGCCCATACTATAACCCCACCGCCACCACGGGCCACTCGATCCACAATGTTGACATCAACAAACCGCTCACCCACATAATGCCATACACACTGTCTGCCATCTGCCCTGTAGAGTGAAAACCAGGATTCATCCGTGAAGAGAACGCCTCTCCCAAGTGCCAGACGCCATCGAATGTGAGCATTTGCCCACTCAAGTTGGTTACAATGATGAACTGCAGTCAGGTCGAGACCCCGATAAGGACAACGGGCATGCAGATGAGCTTGCCTGAGACGGTTTCTGACAGTTTGTGCAGAAATTCTTTGGTTATGCAAACCGATTGTTACTGCAGCTGTCTGGGTGGCTGGTCTGGCCACATTCAATTCACAGGCAACAGCTCTGGTGGACTTTCCTGCAGTCAGCATGCCAATTGCATGCTCCCTCACAACTTGCGACATCTGTGGCATAGTGCTGTGTGATAAAACTGCACATTTTAGTGGCCTTTTATTGTGGCCAACCTAAGGCACACCTGTGCAATAATCATGCTGTCTAATCAGCATCTTGATATGCAACACCTGTGAGGTGGATGGATTATCTTGGCAAAGGAAAAGTGCTCACTAACTCAGATTTAGACAGATTGGTGAACAATATTTGAGAGAAATAGGCCTTTTGTGTACATAGAACAAGTCATAGATCTTTGAGTTCAGCTAATTAAAAATGGGTGCAAACACAAAAGTGTTGCGTTTATAATTTTGTTCAGTGTATATCTGATCATAATTATATCTGATTTGTGATTCACCATACTTGCAGAGTCTCCTGATGAGGTCCTCTGGACGCTTGCCTATTCTCTTGGGGAAGTCCACCTTCTCAATGCCATGGAGGACCATGGTGTAAATCTTTATGGGGTCTGAGCCAGCAAAGGGTGGGCTGCAAGGAAAACAGGTTTTCACATTTGCTGTTTATTTCAAATATAAAGCATTTACTGTAGACTACACTGTTTAAGGATACGATCACTTCAATCACTTAAGCAAGATGCGAACGAATGCAGTGGTCCCTCTCTCTCCGAGTTGTGTGCCTAATAATGTGCGTTCTAGTGTGTGTTTGCGTTTGTCATGTTTATGTTCTGGTGCGCATAGTCCAATGTCTATGTTGCACTCAAGATACAGTTGCCACTGTCTTATGGATATAGGGAATAAATCAAAACATTTCAACCTAGACTAGGAAGTTGCAGAGGAACTTCGAGGCCTGGGGCTTCTCCACTGGATTCTAACATCACCGTACACACCGGCTACATCACCCCCTGAGAGGAGGCATCGGAAGCGTTGTGAACCAATACAGAAGTGGGGCAAACGTGGAGGCATCCAGGCTAGGCTAGCAGCTAGCCCTACCATCCCTCATTATGGCCAATGTACGCTTACTGGACAACAAAATAGACCACATACAGCTCCTGATATCTGTGCAGCATAATGTGAGGGACTGCTGTGTTTTCATCTTTACGGAGACATGGCTAAATGATAACATCCCGGACTCCGCTATCCAGCTAACTGGGCTAACATGCTACCAAGCCGACCGAGTCCTTGTGGAAGGAGGTATAACACGAGGAGGGGGAATTTGTATTTACATCAGTGATGCTTGGTGTAGGGATGCTGCTATTGTTTGTAAACACTGCTCTGTGGTGGAGTTTATTATCATCAAGTGCCAGCCCTTCTATCTATGTAGGGAGTACTCAGTAATTCTGTTGATAGCTGTGTACATTCCTCCCTCCGCTAACACCAGCGATAGGAGTGAGGCACTAAATGAACTTTACCAAGCCATCAGTGAACAACAGACAGCGCACCCAGACGGATTCCTCATCACAGCTGGGGACTTCAATCACGCAGATTTAAAGGTTTTATTGCCCAATCTCCACCAACATGTGGACTTTCCAATGAGAGGAGACAACACACTGGACCTGGTGTACACCGCATGCAAGGGAGCATACAAAGCCTCCCCTCTACAGACTCTGTGGCTCTCTGATCACATCACCATCATACTGAGACCTGCATACAGACCCAGGATACAGGTGAATGCTGTTCCTAGACTTCAGTTCAGCATTCAACACAATCATTCCCCAGCAGCTTATACAAAAACCTGGACACTTGGAACTCAAAACCTCTA